GCTCGGGGGCAGCAAAGGTGAGGTGTCGGAGCTGGGTGCAGCGAGTGATAGAGGAGAGGGGGAAGCAAGGTCTTTATGCTGGGGTTTTGCTGTGTCTTACTTCCCTTTCTGGTCTCTTTTCAGGGTTTTGTATGGGTTTTTTCTTTGCAGATCTTGTTTGGTTCTTGAACAGACTTGTATATATTTTCAGTGCAAAATTCTGTAAATGGAAGAAAACAAACATTTAAAACTAAACGCCCGGCGCGAAGAATCTGCTGTATTTATGGGAAATAAAGAGTTCTTTCCTGATCCTGGCCCTCTGCCTTTTGACCCAAGAAATGTATTTTCCCCTCACCTTCCCTGACTGCAGAGGAGCTGATATTCTACCCTGCGACGGGTCGCTTCCAGTTCAAACCCTGCCCCTGCAATCCCGTAATTCATCACCCGGGGCCTTGCCATGATGATTTCCCCACTCCCATGAGCAGGGAGAGGGCTGGTGGAAGTCCCCCAGCTGCTCTCAATTCCTGTTTGAGAGCAGAATCACTTCCAGACAGCGAGCTGCGTGCTGCCTGCTTCCCTCCCTCCCCGTGGAGAGGCGTTGGGCAGGGGTCAGCGCCCCGCAGCCCATGGGGAGCAGGGCGCTGCCCCATGCAGCTGTTTGCAGCTTCACCACCGCCTGTAGCAGCACTTCTTCCTCTTCCCCGGGGCTGCCTCTCGGAAGCAGTTGTTGCAGGGGTGCAAGGAGGAGGATCTGCTCCGGCAAGCAGCAGCCCGGGGCTGGGAGCAGGTCTCTGACGTTGCATGGGAGCAAAGAGGCCACGGCTTGGCCACCACCTGATGCAGCCAGTGAGGGTTTGGGGAGGGGACTGTGTGTGTGTTCTGTGTTTTTGCAAGGGGTGCTTGAAGCCCTTGCCTGCTTTAGCGACCGCAATGCCTGTTAGGAGCACCCCCAGGGATCAGGCGTGCTTGGCCACAGGTTTAGAGCAACCTGGTGTTCAGGCGGGGAGAATGGTGCTCGCTTGCTTGGTCCCCGCTTGAAAACAAGGTCCAGAACTTCTTTGCTACATGTTCACTAGAGTCTCTCCCCCATCCCCCAAGAAGGAGCAGAGCTCCAAATTATTGCTCCTCAGGCTTTGGGGCACAGGTGGAGTGTCCCTTCCACCTCTTTTTTCCTTTGCTGCTTGTTTCATCTGCCCACAAGCTGACCGCTTCCCGTCAGGGCTTGGGTGCTAGTTCCTTTGCCAGCCATGTAACCTTGCCAACAGCAACCTCTGCTCTTTCTTAATGCAGAAGGAGGAAAGTCCCAGCTGCAGGTAGCCAGAGATAAGTCGAGGTTTACATCTTATAGAGCCAGGAGCAAAGGTGGTGGTGGTGTGAGGGGGATATTTTTAGACTTAAAAAAAAAAAAAAAAAAGCTGAGCCCTGGTGCAGCTCTGCAGAGAGCCGGCAACACCCGAGCCTGGGAACTGGGAGTTTGTGGTCCCCGTGCAACTGTGCACGGGTGCTGCTGCTCTGCGCTTGGCCCATCCGCCCTGCTCAGAGGAGCCCTGCCAGCAGCAGGGGAGCGGGGAGGGCGGAGGGGGGCCTCCCCAGGGCGTGAAGCAACAGCCCTTGCCCGCAGCTTTGCGGTGTCTTCGGAGAGCCTCAGCATGGCAGGGAGGGAAAGTGGGGTTATGGGCACAGAAGGGGTTGCAGGTACGGCTTTGCTGCTCGCCCCCCAGCTTTTGTCCTGATGAGGGGAATACGCTGCGGGGAGGAAGAGGTTGGAGCTGCACCCACGAGCACGGAGAGGTGCCCAGGGGTGGTGGTAGAGTTTGGGTGACCAGGTAGGGCAGCAGTGGTGGTGTGTACATCAGGGCACCCTGTATGCGCCTCACAGCCAGCTGGCATGGCCACGGGCTGTTCCACAGCGTAGCTGGTGGTGGGCAAGGCAAGGGGGGGAAAACCACCCTGGCTGAGACTGACAGCAAGAAACAAAGTGAGCCCTTCGCTAGGGCTTAGCAGCGGCGTTTGCTTGTCCTGCCTTGTTACGTGTTTGCTGTAATATTTCCCCTTTAAGGCTGGGTTGAAGTTATTTATACTTGTGGGGTGGTGACAGGAACACAGAGCGGAGCAGGAGCCCTGAACTGCTCTTACCTGATCGGTGGTGGAGGGGCGGACGGAGGAGGAAGGAAGCTCAGAAAAAGAGAGGGAGCAAGAGAAGGGAGTGCAAGGGAGGGGAAGAGAAAGCAGGCAGGGCATCCCTGGGGAGGGACGAGGGAGGGGACCAGCTGGGGAAACAGAAAAAGGGGGAACGAGGGAAGGAGGAAGGAGAGGAGTAAGGAGGGAGAGGTCCTCAGGGAAAAGCAAGGGGCAGAGCGGCTCCGGGGAGCCAAGGCGCCACCAGCATCTGATGCCAAGCGTCACCAAGGGGTGCTGAGCAGGTACAGCCAAGCGGAGCAGGTCTCGTGGTCTCCTCCCGGCTCTCAAGATGATGAAGAGGCAGTTTAATCGGATGCGGCAGCAGCTGTCCCATCCAAACATCACCACCCGGTAAGGACTTCTTTGCTACCTGTGCCGGAGGGCTGCGAGGGAGCGGGATACGGGTCCTGGAGGGCTTGTACTGGGGCTGGACTGACCTCCCATGGCTGGTGCTGAGGGCAAAGGGGGGAATGACCCTGGGTTTAGAGCATCTTCAGCGTAAGCCGAGGGGCTGTGGCTCCCCGGCACCCGCATGGCAGTGGGAAGGCTGCACTGGTGCTGCTCAGCAGGGACATGGTCCCCAAGCCTGGCTACCTCTCCCAGGGCCCATAGATGCTGCATCCACCTGGAAACAGGCCTTTCCTGAGCTTGGCTTCCCCAGGATGTGAGGGCAATGGGGAGGGACCTTCTAGCCACATGCCCTTGGCTGTGCAGTGACCAGGAAGGTGTTAGGAGCTGGGACCTGCCCTCCCTGCTGAGCCCAGGGTGCCTCATGGGAGCCAGATGTCCTGCATAGCTATAGCCGGCCCGGCAGTGAGGGTTTCCCGGGATGCCCTTCAAGGAGAGGACCCATGGAGGACTTGCAGGTTCACATAAATCCCTCCGGCCCCATCCTACTTCTACTGCTTCCTTATTTTTCTCTTCGGCTTTCCAAAGCTCTCCCCTTGCAAAACCCAGAACTGAAATTACAGGGCTGGGCACTCCCTTCCCAGCCCCCTCACTCCCTCTTTCCTACAGCTACCTCCACAGGTTCTCCAGCACTGGGAGGCTGAGCAGAACCAGTCTTGTCCCCTGGACCGCTGAGGTCCTTCAGCCAGCCCAGCAGACCAGCCACAGAGAAGCAGCTCCTGCATCCTGGTGGCCTCTTTCTCTTCTTGCATTCCCCAGAGGGGAGCACGATTCCCTTTCCCATCCCTCCTCCCTCAAGATGTCTCATCTCCATGTTAGATACACCTCCATTTCGTTTAATGCCAGGCAGGCAGGAGGTCTCAAGCAGCTTGTGCGGTCCAAGAGCAAGTTCTCCACCAGCTGCAGAGCCTCTCCTCCGCGGGCTGCAATCTCACGTGATTTTGCTTGCCTTCAACCAAGCCGCCCCCATTTCCTGCAGCTCCACAGCCTCATCCTGCGTTGGCTCTGGCGGGCGGTGAAAAGAGAGAAACATGAACTGGGGAAAAAGCAGCAGCAGCAGAGGGAAAGCAAATGGGGTTCCCAGGGCGTAGCAATGGCAGCAGGCAATGAAGCGAGGTTTCCTCTATGCAAGGCATCAAGGAGGTTTGGTGGTGATGGCAGCTGGTGGTTTTTTAATTTGGTTTTGAGCAGAATTTGCTGCAAACCAGAAGTTTCCTTTGCCAGATTCACTCCTAATACCTGCTGCAAAACTGAGTAGAACACTGTTTTTACCTAGGCACTTCTGGGAGGCTGGCGTCTCAGTCCCCAGCTTGACCATAAAGATATCCTTGCTCCAGCATCAGTGGCCTCACAGCTGGTGGCTACTGTGGCCTGCAAAGACGCATGCCAGGCTCCAACAGCACTGCCCTGGATTCACCTTCCGGAGAGAGGTGGGCGGTGGGGGGTAGAAGGTTTCACCAGCAAACATCCCACCTGTGATGTGGCCCTGCTAGGCACCTTGTCTCCAAAAATCAGGTCACATCTGGATGTTTTGACTGTGGTGCTCTGAACTGGAAGCTCTGCCTGATGGGGTGTCCACCAGCCAGCAAGGTTGGCTGCCTTACCCTGCTCCTGCTGTTCTCATCCCCCTGGGCTCATTCAGCCCACAGCCTTGTATATGATGGTCCAGGCCATAGCCAGTGTCTCCTGCTCCCAGGAGCCCAAAGCGAGACGGGTGAGATGCATAAGGACCTGCCTTCCTGAGGAGGCTGGGTGGAGGTCACTCCCATCCACTGATGGCTCTTTCTCCTTCCTCCGCAGAGCCCAAGAAGCAACCGAGCTCCTGCCGGAAGATTTGCTGCAGGTGAGGCATGGGCTGGGCCGGCAGGCATGTGCCTGCTTGTGCCTGGGTGTGGGAACCTGCCCCGTTCCTGCCTGCAATTTGCCCTGCCAGCACGTCCAAGTCACGGGGCTGGGATCTGCCCGCGTGCCAGCGGGCAACTCCAGGACCACAGCGTTAAGGGAATGGCAGGCTCCTGCCAGGGGAAAAGGCTTTAAAAAATGGGATGAATCCTGACCAGGAGCTGTGCTCCCTTTTCCCTGGACTGGGGATGCTCTGGGCTGCAGCGGGATGCTGGGCGGGCTCACCCATGTGGGTGGTGGGGAGATGGCCTCAGGGCTCCCACGCTTGGCAAAAGGGCTTCCCCAGTCCCATCTTTCCACTCCCAGATCGAGCAGAGGGTCGAGCCGGCCAAGCGAGCGGCTCACAGCGTGTCCAAGAGGCTCCAAGCCTGCCTGCAGGGGCAATGCGGCTCTGAGATGGACAAGCGAGTGGTGAGTAGAGTCTTCCCTCCATAGCCCATGCTTGCCCCAGCTCTGTCCCCCGCCAGCAAAGGGGACACCAGCCCCCTGATTTGCAGGCTTTGCTGAAGGGTGGCCTAAAGCCCAGCCCAGGTCCCATCTGCAGCCATGGCCACCAGCAGGTAACTGGGTATAGCAGAGCAGGGCAACCCTCTCAACCATCACTGACTTGAGGCCTCCTGAGACAGAGACGCATTGAATAACCCTCCAAAGCCCTGTTGTCCATCCCTTCCTGAATCCCTGTGAACCTCTGGCACCCACGGCACCCTGTGGTGAGGAGCATCACAGTGTGGCTGGGCACAGTGGTGCCACCACTTCCTCCTCCTTGGTTTGAACTTGCCACTCTCTTCCTGGCTGGTGCTCACCAGCCCTTGTCTGGGAAGCAAAGAGTGGATCTCCCTGAACTTTCCTTAGGTCCCCCATGATTTTGTGGGCTCCTCTCTTCCTGGCAGCCTGACAAGCCCCAGCTTGGCTTAATTGTTCTCGACGATTAAACTGCTCTGTACATTTGAAGCAGCGGCAGAGCTGGGATTGGTGAAGGCCTCCATCAGTGTCACGGTCCTCCATAGGGGATGATTTTAGAGAAGACCGGAGGTTTTCTAACAAACTATGGAGCCTCAGTGCCTTGTTTAGCTAACTGGATCCTGGCTTTGGCTGAAGGGACATCCAAAGGGCCCTTCCTCAGGCCCCAGGGCCAATGGGGCTGGGTGGGCCAGGGGAAGATGTGGGGACCCAGTGCATGGTTTGGCCACTTGCTCCCATGCCACGGTGGCATGCTTCATGAGGAGAGAGCTGCCACATGCCAGCTCACCATCCCATTCCCGAATCCTTGGCTCTGTGCAGAAGAAGCTGCCCTTGATGGCTCTATCCACGACGATGGCCGAGAGCTTCAAGGAACTGGACACAGAGTCCAGCCTCGGGTAAGTGCCAGTGGGAGAAAGGGCTGAGGGTGACCCTGAAAGATGCCAGACCCTGACAGAGCCACTGTCTTGGCTCAGGGGCTCCACAGCCAAGCTGAGCTGTCAAACCCTGTCCTCAGAGCAAGGGTTGGTGTCGCAGGAACAGAAGGAACAGCCAGTGCCTTCAGCCTCCAGTTACAGAGGGGGCCAGGGGCTGGCTCAGGGTCCCACATGGACAGGGGTACGGTGGGAGGTGTTAGGTCAGAGGGTGGCATGGCTCCAGCCCGCAGTCATTTCATCTCTGTCCCCTATGCAGGAAAGCCCTGGAGATGGGCTGCTGCATACAGAGCTCGCTGGCCAAAATCCTGGCTGAGTACGAGATCACCCTGGAGCATGACGTCCTGCAGCCGCTCAACAAGCTCAGTGAGGTAGCCCTGGCCACCGTCCCAGCTCTGCTCCCCCATCTCACCTCCCCTTCCCGCATCCCTAAGCCTCTGCAATTCCCTCTGGCTCCTCTCTCCCACAGGAGGAGCTTCCCATCATCCTGAAGCGCAAGAAGACCCTCCAGAAGTTGATCTCTGACTGGAACACCATCAAGAGCCGGTACGGAGCACACCACGGCTGCGGGGGGAGGCAGAGCACATAGGGTGCAGCCCCCAGCCAGGTTGGGGGAGAGGGGAAGATGACTGCCCTGGGAAGCAAATTTCCCGGGGCTGGAGTTGAAGTCAAAGAGGCAACAGCTCTTTGGAAGCGCCCAGCCAGCCCCTCTATGTGAGGGCATCCCGCTCTGGGCTGAGCCACTGGCTCCGTGGCACAGGAGAGAAAGGCAGGCCATTGCTGAAGCCAGCAAAGTGCCCTGGTGCTGCTCGGTGCTGCTGAGATTACCCCACTCTGACTCCTGTGAGGTAGCCCATGCCGAGTTTCTCAGGAAAAGCAGGCCAGTTGTGGGTGGCTGGTGGCTCATTTCCACACTGCCTTCCCTTTGGCTGGAGGGAGGAGAGGAGGGAACATCTCAGGAACAGGGATTGGGAAGGGTCCTACAGACCCTGGGTGTTTCAGGCAGCCATACTGAATGCTCCCCATCTTGACCATGTCGCACCCCTTGGTGCAGCAGCATCTTCCTCTGGGGGAGGGAAGTAAGTGGTGCTGGCCAAGGAAACCCACCTCAGGGCAGTGCTGTGACTTTCCACCCCCCTTGCAGTCCCCATACCCCTTCTGCACACCCGTCACACCCCATGTCCTGGTGCTGAGGCTGTGGGTGTGCCTCTTCTCTCCCACCCCAAAGGCTGAACCAAGCTGCCAAGAGCTCCAGTAACAGCTCTGGTGCTGGCGCTGGCCCCGGGGCATCTTCTGCTGCCAACAAACTGGAGATCTTGAAGGAAGAGGAGGAGGAGGTGAAGAGGAAGGTGGAGCAGTGCAAGGTGAGAATGTCACTCGCTCTCACCCACCGGGAAGCTTCAAAGCTGGAGACCTGCTCCCCTCCAGTGGCTCCATCCAAGGTGATGCCACACCAAGACAGATGCAGCCAGCTGGCACGTCCTGCCCTCTGCAGGCAAACCAGCCCCTCAAGGGGCAGAAACAGGGAGGTGCCCAAGCCCAGGGAAGAAGAGTAGTAGAGGATTCAAAGCACAAGCTGCTGCAGAGAGAAGGCTCCAGGGGCTAGAGCAGTGAACTTATGGAGTCCCCTCGGGCTGGGAGCCAGCTGAGCTGGGGTCTTTGCTAGGTGTCAGGGAACTTTCACATTAGCTTTCTCTACCTCTGCCCTGGTTCTCTGAAAAGCCTAGTGCCTTGTCTGGCAGATCCCATGGGCGTGCTGGAGCTGGAAGTGCAGGGACCTCTTGTCCCTGAGCCTCCTGTGCCAGGACCCTGATCATAGGGCAGGTCACTGACGCTACCCGAATGTAAGCGATGGGGGCAAGGAGGAATCCCCACATGGTCCCAGCCTGCCTCCCCAATACACCCTGGAGACCCTGCCCAGGCACCTCATGGCCCAGATGGGGGGGCTTTGTAAAGACATTCCCTCTTCTATGGGTGCCAGGGAGGAGATGGAAGGTTGCTCTTCTCTATGTCTCCCTTTCCAGGATGAGTATATGGCTGACCTCTACCACTTCTCCACCAAAGAGGACAGCTACGCCAGCTACTTCATCAGAGTAAGTCCTTTCTTGCATTCCTCCTCCGCATGTGAACATCTCCTGGGGTATGTGTGAGCCCAGCCTTGTCCCCATCCGCACCGAACCCTCCAGCCAGGGCAGGGGACAGCCCCAGGCACCAGCAGATGCCCAAAACTGGCCTTGCTCCACGCACTGCTAGCACCAACTGCAAACAGCAGCTTGTCCCAGTGACCCCACCATCTCCAATTTGCCCTCTACCCCTCACTATAGCCACGGTCCCATGAACCCTGGGGGGGGGGGTCCCCTTTCAGCTTCCCCTTTGCCCTCTCTCCATGTGGGTACAATGTCCTGGGGATGCGAGTCTCTCCAAGAGGAGCCAGTGCTGAATTGAGTGCTGTTTGCTTGTTCCCTGTCCGGCAGCTGCTGGAAATCCAAGCCCAGTACCACCGGCAGTCCCTGGCATCACTGGACTCAGCTCTGGCGGAGCTGAAGGAAAGCCACAGCCAGACAGGTACCTGCCAGCTCTCCATGCAGCCTGGGGAGAGCCGCAGCTGAGCCTGGGGGATGTGAGCATGGCTGGTGAGGCTGGGAAAGGCAGGTTTTCCCTCCCTGTGCCTGCTGCTGCTTCCCACATCGGGCTGGTGTGATGGCGACAGCATCCTGAGGCGGGCTGAGGATGCTGCC